CAAGAGCAAGATCGTAATACCCTGTGAAGTGGTTCTCAAGAACAGAGACATATCATTTTAACTCTATACAAAACCAGCTTCATTGACAGTGCCATGCAACTTCTTAAACCAAGCCCTAAAGGCTTGTTTAAGACCATACAGAGAGCGCTTTATCCAACAAACCTTACACGGACCACCCTTCGAATACCCTAGTGGACATGCCATGTAAATGGTCTCCTTCAGGTCACCATGTAGGAAAGCATCCTTGACATCCAATTGGACAAAAGGCCAATTACGCATCGCAGCTACAGCCAAAACACAACGCACAGTCTGCATCTTAGCCACCAGAGAAAATGTTTCATCATAGTCAATCCCATATTCTTGGCTGAAGCCCTGATCCATCACTCCCACCTTAAAGGGCTCAAGACTCCCACTAGGATTCATCTTTATGTTGTATACCCATTTGCTCCCAACCCTTGACATATGTGGCATCCGATCAACAACGTCCCAAGTCTCATTAGCCTCAAGAGCTGTGACTTCATCAGTCATGGCCTCATCCCACTCTGGAATGTCACATGCCTGATGATAGTTTGACAAAATAGTAATGGAGCTTGTCGCATAGCCAACATAATCATCATAGCGAATAGGAGGCTAGCCTTTGGTTGCTCGGGAGGAACAACGAGGCAACATGAGAGCATCCAAATCCTCTAAATCAGGCCCATCATCATTTGTTGAGGAGGACGAGCTAGACAACGACGTGAAAGACTCCAAAGAGGAGGCGAATGACGATGCATAAGAGGTAAAAGCTGAGCTCGATGGCGAAGTGGGGGAGGACTCTCCAGGTGAGGACGTGTCCATAGAAGGACTAGGAGCAGGTCCGTGAGGCTCACCATGTAGAGAATCCCCTCCCTGTGTCAGCTCGTCAGTAAGAAGAGTATCCATAAACGATAAGATTTTCATAAACTGCTCCCGAGAACCAAGACTGAGATGGGAATATTACATCATTTGCTCCATAAAAACAACATGATACGCATTGCCAAGTCACTGATTATCGGGATCATAACACATATATCATTTGTGGTGGTCACTATATCCCACGAAAACACATCTAGTAGCCTTCGGAACCAGCTTATGACGCTCCCTCTTGGGCAAGAGAACAAAGCACAGGTAGCCAAATACACGAAGGGAGCCATAGTCCGGAGGTCAAGAGTACAGTTTGTGAAATGGAGACAAATTATCCAACATGGGAGTAATCTTCCTATTAATAAGATGAACGACTGTATTAATGGCTTCAACCTAAAAGCGAGTAGGAACGCTAGAACAAAAGAGAAGGGCCTTGGTTAACTCGACAACATCCCATTTTTTTCTTTCAACTGCTCCATTTTGCTAAGAAACACTCGCACAAGACAGTTGGCTAAGAAATCTGTGAACAGTAGAAGGCTAGGAGATCATTGATGCTAAATTCTGCACTGGGGTCAGACCGCAGGACTTTGATAGTTTTCTGAAATTGTATTTGAATCATACGGATAATGAGGTCAGACTTTTTACGTAATCCACCTATATCGTGTATGATGATCAATGAACAACGCAAAGTACAAGAAACCATAATGAGAAGGAACCAAGGACAGACCGCAGAGATCTGTATGGACAAGATCAAAGGGAGCATCATACACCGTAGTACTAGAGGCAAATGGGCGTTGCGCTGTCTTAGCTTCAACGCAACTAATGCAGGTCGGGAGAGTAAAAGAGCTAGCATTAAATTTACCAGGCAATAAATTTTGTTTAAACATCTGTAATAACCGAACTAAATTTGGATGCCCCAAATGGCAGTGCCATAAATTCCAACCAGAATGTCGACTATCAAAAATCATAGAATCTCTAACAATAATGGAAAATAAAGTATGATCATAAACTCCATCTGTATCCCTGGTAACCGCACATGTTGCCGTACCTGCGCCTTGCTCTTCCTCCATACGATAGCAGATACCTGACTCCAAGGGACAAAGACTATCCATGATATAGACCCGACCATATTTATGCCCCCGGCCTAGCTCCTTCCCCGTCATCGAGTCCTGCACCAGACATCCACGATCATTAAAACCAATTTCACAGCCCTCTTCAGCCAAATGCCCCATAGATATCAAGTTAGGAACCAAAACTGTCGCACCAAATTCTGCAAGCCTGGCGACATATGCAGTAGGAGGTAGGGTTGTCTCGGGAAGACGAGGACAAGCACGGAGAGGAGGACACTGAGGAAAATTGCTCAAGATATGGTCAGACTGTTTACAAAAATTACCCCAGTTTCGTTCCTACAGAAAGGTTGAATATGGCCAGGCTCGCGATAGTAGTGGCAAATGCGAGGACAAGAGGGAGCAGCAGAAGACGAGTTGCTGGCGGATAAGTGGAGTTACTAGCGGACAAGAGGGAGCAGCATAAAAGGACAAGGATTCAAGCTTAGCTAGAGGAGGATAGGAGGTGGCAGCAAACTGCGAAAACCATGTCAGCCGTGAGAGGAGTAGCAGTCAAAGAGGCAGAAAGGAGATTGCTCTGCGTCCAAAATTCATAGCAGTTGGTAATACGAACGAACATCCATATCATAATGGGTCAGTGAAGAGAGAACCAATTCCAAGTCAAACTTACGGGAAGAACTACTTGACTATACGTAGTCAAGAGATGTTTCCACATCTACTGGCCGTTGAGAACCGTCGCAAACTGAGACCCCTAGGAATGTCCACACAAGCAAGGAGCCACATGATTACCTGGGTATTCTTGACCTCCCAGTCAGCATGTCCTTCTCCTTAGATTCACTTGGTTGGGGACGCGTACCCAGCAACAACGGGAGCAGTCGTTTGCCTTGATTGAAAGTACGTAATCAAAACTACTAGAGTGAGAAATTTTTGCCGTAAAAACGGCTCAGCAAAGCATCGGGTCTGAGAGAATCCATGGGATAACATACATCTGAACAACAAGCAATAACAAGAGCAAAACAACCGCCACACCATCAACGACTAGAGAAAGAATCAAAACCAAAAACAGCCGAGAAACCCTAAAGCAGCTGAGAAATCCAAGACCAAATAGCCGAAAATACCACCAAACAAAACACAGTAGCCGAGAATACCTGGATCAACACCAAGAACCGAGGTAAATGACCAAAAGAAATCCACGGAGCACCTCAAACACACACCGATCGAGCAACAACCCAACAAAGCAGCCAAAATCCTCACAATAGAGGCTTTGATACCCGTGATAAGAAGTGCAAAACATTAAATCGAACACCGGATTTTACATGGGTTCCCTGATAATCAGGACTAGTCTATGGGAGAGGTAGAACTCTCTAGAGTCGATCTTATTCAGCGTAGTTCTAGAAAACTAGTTACAAACGTGAATATATAGGCAGCGGGTTCTTGGAAACCCTAGTTTAGGCTAGCTACGTAAATAAAGGCTATTTACAGAAAGCTGCCTAAACTCTAAATATTCATCATTCAAAACACTAGCAACCATGTTGTAATGTCGATTACTAAAGCTAAAGTAATTAAGCTGGAAATTTGGTTTGAATTCGTGTGCAAAAGATCACTCAAGTATGTGTCCCCCTAACCTGTACTTAGGTTAACGTTGTAATTCCCCTTAGTTCAGTTGTATGATAGTTATATTGCAGAAGGTCCTTTATTAGCTTGGAATCTCGACTAAAGCAAACCAAGCCCTCTTATACAGATTAGCAAGCAGGAAATTATCCTCAATCGAACTAAAATACCAAGGCAATGCTAAAAGACCTCCTCTACTGGAAACGATTCCGGTACAATACAATAAATTGATTCACTATTCGTGCAATAGATTGACTATTCCAATTAAGCATGCTCTCTTAACCCAATCAGATTTTCTCTCTCTCAGGTTAAAGTAAAAATCAAAAGAATTTTATCAAGATTCAATCAATCATGAATAATACCTAAATTTAATATAATCAATCAATTCACTAATCCAAGTGTTCATACAATCACTCTCCTAACACATGAAAATAGGGTTCTTCATACTCAAATGAGAGAGAAGATTTCTCTATAAAGAGAGAGTGGAAAACCATGCTAGAAGTAGTCATGCTCATAAAGATGATGATGATATGCTCCGAGATGTCAATATGCACTTCGAGGGGAAAATTCAAGGTCCAATAATGGAATCAAGGCTCAAATTTTCTCCAAAGTATGTTTATTCTTCACTTTCTCTCTCTATAACTCTATTTTATCTATCATATGTCGATCCCATTAAGAAATCTCAAAATTTTCACTTAATCCAATAGCTAGCCAAAATGCGGTCATGTTTCATGCCCGTGTTATGTCAATGCTCCGCGTTTCACTTAAGTTCCTTCTAGACATAAGACAAGCATCTCTAGTGTGAAACATGGTCGAGGCAATGTTTGGTGTCATCTCGATAGTCATTACATGGGCTATTAAGTGCGAAACACATTCATGTTTTGTCCTTTTGCTTAGACCATGCTTTCCCTTGGCAGTGATTACATAACCTGGCAAATCTGGTCTTGCTTCTTTAGCTAGAACATGGTCAATGTCCTCTAAAACAAGGTTTTATTTCTCATGTTGGGGCGTGTGGATTCGGAATGCCCAATTTGGCCGTATTCGAAATCAATATCCGGAAGGTTCTCGGACTTCACCTATTGCTAGAATCCATCAAGGCGGATACAGGTTCCCCATGGCTTCATAATATCAATCTCGGCGACAGTTCTTGCAAACTTTTCGTGTTTCCAGGTGTTCTGTATGGTATTCAAGTTTGACGGTTCTTCCCAATAGATTACCCAAGACAAAGAGCACTTCCCAGCGATAGAAATGGATCGGAAGTTCGGGTAGTTCGACCCAAGCCACCATAGACCGATGGGGTTTGTAAGAGGTTTGGAAAGTATGCATGCGACCACTGATGGACGATCATTACCCATGGCCGCCGGTGAGTGCGTGGAGGCAGTCTTGTTCGTTGCCCAAACTTACCAGAAAAGTAGAGTTGTTTAGATCCAAAATCTCCATACGTCCGCTGGGTCTCTATTTCCAGCGAAGCTGCGAGCAAATATACTGGTAAGAAACTGTTTGTCCAATAGCTAGACTACCATCGTACATTTCCAAGGGATGTAGAGGCATTACTTGTGTTGGGTAGAGACCTTTAGCTTAGGTTCACCCAGATAGGAACCTGCTTCCATGTCATGTTCGTCGATGAAAGTCCATTGGTGGGATTTTGGGGAAGATCTCATCGGGGATACCGCCATCGCGGATTCATAACTCAGTTGCAGAGAACCCTGAGAGCCTTGAAAATTGGGGGTCGGAGATGAGTATTGTAGGATAGGAGGGTCCGGTGGGCGTCCCGATACAGCCACCTCGGCCAGCGGCGAGTTGAAACCGCTAAGAATTTTAGAGAGCATTTCAGAGCATTTACCAATGAAGCTCTTAAAGTTATTGACACATCACTTAAACATAAATTGCTTATGAATACAATAAAAATAAGGGTATGCATACTATGACATGCATGTCACCGTGACATGGACTTTTCGGTCGACCTAATCCTGGAGGCGGTCGACCAAATTGACTAATTTGGGCAGCACGATAAAGCATTGCGGTCGACCTCAAAGACCACCTGGTCGACCGTTCTTAGTTTAAGTTGTTATTTTTGGTTGACCAGAATAAACCTCGGTCGGCCATTTCGTTGGCGTCAGAAACAACATGGTCGACCATAAAGGTATATAGGTCGACCACTTGATGGCAGTCATTAACAACATGGTCGACCAGATAAAGAAAGAGGTCGACCAGATAGACGATAAGTGTTCTATCAATTAATCCAATCATTTGACGTAAAATGAAGATCAAGTGTTGGTGTCGAGGTCGACCGAATACAAGAAAGTCAACCTATACCCCGTGTCTTTTTTGCTTATGTATGTCGATTTGTGTGGTTCTTTTGCTCGTCTAAATTACGCTTTAAACCATCATAACTAGTCATAAATAATGATAACAAGGACTCATCAATTATGCTATGAATTGAGGTCGACCGCCTTTAGGATTAGGTCGACCGCAATGCTTTCTCGTACTGCCCAAATTAGTCAATTCGGTCGACCTAAAAGTCCATGTCACGGTGACATGCATGTCACCGTAGCAAAATCCTAAAAATAAGCATTATTATTTATTCTTAAATTAAATAAAATATGTGACCCCCCTATATAGTCTCTACATGAACAAATGGGGATGAAAGTGGAATGAGCCAGGTAAGAAGGTGAAGGATAAGAGAAGAATAGAGGATAAATTTTATTTAATAAAAAAACAATCAACATGTTCATGGTGGTGCGACACTGTCACTAAGTTAGCAGATTTAATGTTGCCATGTCATGAAAAGTCAAAAAAAGTTTTCCAAGTGTCTGGTCAATCTTTAAATACTTCGATCAATTGAAGAGTTAATGGCACAAATGACGTAAATTCCAATAATATAGGCTATCTAATGAAATAAAAAAATGGGACATGAATAACAAAAGTCTTAAAGTACATGGATTACCATAGTATCAACCCTAAATTAAGAAATGAAAAATATAGGAACAGGACACAGTAGGTATAAATGAAAAATTAAGTAATATATAAATAATTTTGACGAAATGTTTTACACGTTTCAGCCACTCTTAGATCATAGTAGCAATCAACATATAAAAAAATTCAGTTACATAAACATATAAAAATCTACTACAAAGCAATAAAAATAACCTATAATGAGTTGCCTAAAAGTTACAACACCAACAACAACAAAAAGGAGGGAAAATTGGCATCAAAATTCCCTAAACAACACAAAAGTAGCTATAATAAAAGGCTAAAGTCCCCAAAAATGCCAACAACAACAAAAGGCAAAATTGATGGAATGCCTTTGACTCACTATTTTTTGTTTCACTTTATCAGTTGATTTTTTTTATCTTTTCTGAAAATTGAAACACTTGATGGAGATGGCAAAGAAGAAGGCGAAAACAACTACCAATCCGACCATAACTCCGGCAACCACTCCCAAGAAATCATGCTTGAAACCGAAGTAGCTCCTCAAGAAATCCTCAATAGTTTCCCCTGTTCCTTCCATTGATGTCCTCACATCTCCATACTGTGATACAATCAACCCATACAACGTCCATGAGATCGGATTGGCCCAGTAGTTCCACCTCCACCAAACTGGGATGAGCTGGAGATACAAGGGTCCAATGTCAACGAAAGAAAATCATTAATCAATTTGTTGTAGCAGGTTTTAACTGAGCGTTGAAATTAAAGCAATTTATATATGATGATGATTGACTTACAGGTCTAGGGACGATGAATCCAGCAAAGAGCATCCAGATAGAATAGAAGAAGGTAGAAATGATGGAGGCAATGTGGTGATTTGGCGTGATGGCAACACTCATCATCCCATAGTAAGTGAAGTATAGGAGTGTGAAGTACATGAAGAAGACGTACCACATAAACTTCTTGACGTCCCATTCGAATCCAATCATAGTGTAGGTGATCACTCCATATACCAGAGCCTGGGCCAGGACATAAGGGATCTCTATGATCATCTGGGCGTAGGCATACGATAAAGACGAGTACATCCCAGCAGCTCGCTCCCTGTAGAACACAGTTCTTTCAATGGATACCACTGGTTGTACAGAAGATGCATTTTGGACACCCAAGAATAATACTGCTGCAAACATAGCACCCATTGCATTGAAAATGTCTTGATTCCTAGTTCTCTTGTTTCCGAGATCCCAGAAAATGGTTCCAAACATAAGGGCGATAAAGGTTGTGAATAAGAATCTGACGGCAGTGTATGAAGGGTTGCACCAGTAGGACTGGTGCTGCTTCCACAAGCAGGCCATGCACTGCATCAAGAATGGTTGGGAGTATCTGGTTTGGAAGTAGAGTTCTTTGGAACCTTGAACCGGCTTGCTTAGCTCCGCGATGAGAGCTTTGTTTCTCTTATAGAGATCTGATTTCCTGTAAATTTGTGCAAAATCAACTCCTAAAGCTGTCTCTTGTGCACTGCTGGTAACCTCTAACATCCATGTTGCTGGGTTGTACCCATCTCTGATCTTTCTCACGCCTTGTATTTCTTCAAAGTATTTCACTAAATGGGTTGAGTGGCTCCCCAATGGACCCACATATATCTCCTCTCCTCCATTCAAAAGAAACAACTACAAACAGTCCCAAAGGGTAATTTTTAGAAGTTGATTGTCGCTTCTTTGGTTTTAATAATCATGATAATTGATTAGCAATAGTTTACCTCATCAAAAGCTTCAAAGATATCAATGCTGGGCTGATGGATGGTGCAAACTACTGTTCTACCAGTGTCCACTGTGTTTCTCACTGTTCTCATGACAATGGCAGCAGCTCTAGCATCCAACCCTGAGGTCGGCTCATCCATAAAGATAATGGATGGATTAGCAACTAGCTCAACACCAATAGTTAGCCTCTTGCGTTGCTCAGTTGTCAAGCCACTCTCACCAGGGATTCCAACAAGAGAGTCACACAAGGGCTTTAGCTCAATAAGATCCATCGCTTCTTCAACAAAAATCTATTACAGATATGTATAAGTACAAGTTAAAGCTTAGTTTGATTCAATGCCTCTACACAATTGAAAAACAAGATATATGTTAAGGAAGATGTAGCTGAGGATGGAAGCTTACCATTCTGGTTTTGTCATCAACTTCTTGGGGTAAACGCAACCAAGCTGAGTAAACAAGAGACTCGTATACAGTAACTTGTGGAGAATGGATGTCATTTTGCTCACAATATCCTGAAATTCTAGCAAAAGTTTCTTGCTTCTTAGGGAACCTCGAAATCATGATATTTCCTTCAACATATCCACCGGTTTTCCTTCCAGCAAGCACATCCATGAGAGTTGTTTTTCCTGCACCACTGACTCCCATAAGGGCCGTTAGAACACCTGGCCTGAAAGCACCACTAATACCTTTCAAAAGAACCAGTTTATCATCGGGAAAACGTTGGTATTCCATTTCCTGGAGGCCAAAGAAAGATTAAAAAATGGGTCATTAGTATTTGACCCTAACAACAAAAACAAAGCCTGAATGTCATTTTCTTTCTATCTACTACTTCTCATACTGACTAACCTTTGGTGTATCAACAGAGTATATAATATCCTCAAATGTTATGAAATGGGGTTCAAATGGAAGAACCATTCCTTCCTTCTTGTTTCCACTAGCTTCATCATCTACAAGCATGGTTGTAGAGGAGCCACAAGTTGACATCTCATTGGCTTCTATTAAAGTTGTTGCCTCGTCAATAGGCATGATAGCTTGAGGCTTCTCAAAGCCTGTGCTTTTCAACAAATGAAGATATTATTCATGAGCAAATATGGTTTCTTGTGCGAGAAGCATGAGAATTGAATCATGAATACTTGGATGGGGTTACTTACGATCTAAGAAAGTAAGGGCGAAAGCAAAGGCAATGTTAAAAAGGAACAAGAAACCTAGATTCGCTCCCAATCCTAGCCAATACCAATGTGGTTCTGTGAAGAACCCACGAGACCTCAACACTTGAATTCCTAATGATTTGGTTGAGTTTGAGTTTGCCGGAACCTGCACACAAGAAAGTATTGGAGATTCAAAGCAAAAGAAAAGAATAACAAAAAGAGAGGAGTTTGACAATAATTGCAGCAGGATCAAGGATGTTACGTGGCTCCAACTATGTGCAAGGAATTCATTGATGACTATCGCGTTCTGCCCGTACATCATCGGTGATACCCAATAGGCCCACTTCCACCATTTCTGTATGTAATCTTTAATTGAAAGATCAAAAGGAAAGTTAGTTCTGTGAAATATAAGGTCAAAGTGAAAAAGAAAGAGTTAACTAGCTAACCTGGTGACAATATGAATCCACCCAATGCAAAGATGGAAAGTAGAACAAATGAGCCAAAGGTGTTGGCAACAATCATGTTCCTTCCAGTTGCAGCGATAAATCGAAAGAGAGCAGATGCCATCTGATTAATTGCTACCAACAACACATAGAATCTAATCAACCTGCATTGTTATATTAAATGTTACAACACTTGGTGTGTTAAGAAGCAAGCTAAGTAAATTGGGAATCAAATAGTAGAATCAATCTCTCAGAGTCTTTAACTCACCTTCCAAAGTTGGGATCAAAACCGACGTCATAGTAAGTTAGGGAAACCCAAATACCAACTTCAAGGAAGGTGATGGGAATCTTGAGGATCCATGGGGGGATGGAGTATATCCATGGTGGGTAGAAAAACATATTTCGTTGCTTATAGAACACTGGAAGCTTTGCAATGGTCATTGGAATTTCAGACATTCCTTTGAACATGATCGTGATCAATGTGAAGAAGAGAGCACCCATAAATACCCATCCATCCTGGATCGTGTTTCGGTGCATTCTAGTCCGAAAAAAGACCGTCATAGTCAATAGTGCCATGATTAATATCTGAGTGAGCTTGAAGATGTAGACAAATGAGTTTCTTTTCATGAGCAGGAACTCTCTTGCAAAGTTGGCCTTAAGAAGCTCCTTGTTCCCAATTCCGTACTTTTTGGTTGCCAACGCAGTAGGGTGGCTCTTGCTTCTATCATAAGGAATTGATAGTTCATCACTAATCTTCCTTCCTATGTGGAATGACTGGAACGCCTCGGCAAACTCCTTAGTCGTAATGAAACGGTACGCGTGATCCCTTCTAGCCCAATATTGCTTCTGATCCTTCTTAGATGTGACCTGAAAACAAAGAAAAGAGCAATCCTATCAATATTATCGCGATGATAATTGGGAAATCAACAACGTTAGTGTTGTCATTCACTCACTTCTTGCAAGTAATCGGCAACTCCTTTCCTATTAGGACACTTGAAACCCATGTGCTCAAAAAACTCGAGCACGTTTTCACATGGGCCTTGGTAAGCAATGTGCCCATCCGACAACAGGATGATGTCATCAAAGAGGTCGTATGTCTCGGGAGCGGGTTGGAGGAGGGAGATGATTGTAGTGCGATTGAGGATGTGATTTTGTTGCTTCAGTGAGTTCACAATCTGGAATGTTGTGGAACTATCCAAACCAGTTGAGATTTCGTCCATGAACATGGCTCTTACCGGTCCAACCAAAATTTCACCTTTAAATTCATGAATTTGAGTTTGAACTATAAGCTTTCATTTAGGTATTCTGAAAGCAACGGGTCAAGAGATGGTGGATTTTTGTTTTACCTGTTGTGACACGCTTCTTTTGTCCTCCAGAGATACCCCTGATCATTTCATTACCCACCAAAGTGTCTGCGCAACCTTCCAGTCCTAATATCTATGAAGATTCAATCGAATTAAAATCTATAAATCTTTGTTAAAGAGCAATATTAAAATATTAACCTGCGAGTAACAAAAAAATCGGAGTCACTGTTCCTTAAGAAATTTTCGGAATTACTGTTTACAGTGGGGCATGAGCTGCCTGTGGTCGATTCTAACTGCACCCATGTATACCATCTTGGGCTAGCCAAGCATGGCCATTGATTAACATATTGGCAGGTCAATCATGACCGTTGGAATCTTGCCTTCCTTCTATCATTCCTCTCTCCTCTATATCTATTCCCGTTCCCTCTGCCTCCATGTTCTTCTCCTCAATTTCAGATATTCTCTATCCTCTGGAACTCCTTTTTTCTCTCCTTGACTTTCCCATATCCCCTTCCGCAATCAATTAGCCATCAGCATCCATTCCCCTTCTGAGATAAAATCGACGAAAGCGTAGAGCCCTGACGATGGCGACGCCATTCTCCTCTCTTATCCTTGAGGGCATGAGGATTTTGATTTGGAATCAAGCAGAAAAGAACTACGAAGGTGAGTTTTTCCTCTTCCTACTTTTATTTTTCTTGATTTGCTGATGAGAAATTAAAAGGAGCAGAGGACAAAGTGAATCGATAGCATCACTTTTAGTTTAGGGCAAAATGGTGCAAACGATCCCTGCTCCGTTCACTTCTTCTTCTTCTCTGAGCATGTCGAATTCACTAACCTAGGCTTCCTCTTCCTCTGCTTGGCCATTCCAATTTCTTCTCTTTTCTACCCATTACAGATTCGATGATTTTATATCACCCAATTGCTGTTTTATATCTTTCCCTGAATTTGAGAGGGTTTCTGGAGTGTCAACGGTGCTCTTAAGGTTTCTAGAGAAGAAGAAGGTTAGGATGGAAAAATCTCGGGAGCTTGGCTTTAGGTATGACAATTCCTTACACTCCCTCTGACTCCCCATTTTTCTTCTTAGATTGAGAGAGATGGTGGTCTCCATTGTTATCAAGCTTTAGGTTTGTCAATTCCTTACATTCCTCTTGGTTCTTCATTCTTCTATACAGTTGGATTGGGTTACAGCATGTTGGAACGACTTCCAATTTTTAGTAGTCTCTTGGATGTATTTTGTGTGGCAGTGGTCCAAGAACAAGCAAAACATCAGAGAAGCGAATTGCATTTCCTGGGACTGGGAATCGGACATAGATGTGAATCATAATGGTCATGCTGTACACAATTTCAGTGATTGGTTTAGCAAGTTTATAATCTAATTATCCAAGAGCTTTTCACAATAGCCTTCTCTATAACTCTATTGGTTTTACACAGAGTTACTGACGCTAAATGTGTTGGTCATCTAATGCTCTTTGCTGTTCGTGCATCAATGTCAATGACTAGCTAATTGGCTTGAAGAAGGATAGTAAATCTGCATGCTTAAACTTGGCCTGCAGTTCTTAAGGCTTGATTCAAAACAGTCAACCAATGAGGTTATTTATCTATGTGTTTATCTTTTTATGTTTTCTTATTGAATCTTCCTATTGCTTCTATTAGGTACATGCATGTACTTTTAAGTTTAAGATATATTGACCAGGGAGAATTTCGCTTCACTAGCAGCAAGGTGATGATGGATAAGTTGAAATTAGAGTTTTTTCTTCATTAGGTGATGATTTTATGTATGTTGTTTTAGAAGGATGAAGGAGTGCCACACTATTACATTCGAAGTTCTATCGCTGAGTGATGAGTTACTGGATACTAAAGACGTCAAACTCAATATGCAAACTGATTTCAAGGTTCATGTTTAAGACACTAAAGATGGTGATGCCTGTGATGTAGATTTAAACTATTAAATTGACAGACTCATCATTAAGATATTTGAAAAATGGCAGTTTGTAGTAGGCAGATCTTTTCCAAAGAGGAGTAGAAGTTAAATTGGTTTCCTTCGACAGGAGAGAATGTATACTACTGGCATCCGTAAATAATGCCAAGGACCGAGAATAAATGGTGGACAGGGCGGGCTCATGTGTTCCTGAAATTCTTGGTTGGGATAATGGGTTTGATGGAAATTAATGTTGAATAATTTAATGTTCTTTACCCTTCAATTCGAATTAGCAAAATGCAATGTCTTCTTGCATAATATAAATTACAAACATTCATGATTTGAATATGAATGGGTCGAATTACTTTATCTCTCAGTCTATTAGTGAACTATCTTAGCATATGATTCCTATAGATGAAGTTTAGGGGAAAGATGGCCTCAACTTTATTGAAGTCATTTTCATAGGGCTCTCATTGAAATCTAAGTAGCTAATAAGTTGATGCATTTCTTGATAATATCATTCCCGTTGCAAAGCACGGGCTAATTATCTAGTCAAACTTAATTAATGTTACCTTCAAAACGTAGTCTGTGACGACAATGCTTGCAAGACCTTCAGTTGCTGAAGCCTAAGGTACCGAATAAAGAAGGACAATTATCAACTAACTATGATTACATTATGCTAACAGAATTACACTAGTGAAGCCTTGAGTCACCTTCATGAAGTCATCAATATCAGGATCGGGTATGATACTTGCTGCCTTTTCTCTTCTGGACAATTCTTCCAAGATATCTGCAGATTTTCCCCACGATCAGTTAATGTGACTTAGCAAGCAGCCATGGATGAACAATCAAAAGTGTTCGCAACGAGAAAGAACAAACCCTGAAGAGATCCAACTCCTTGGACTCTGGCCGCGAAGGCTAAAGTTTCTCTGACAGTTAACTCTCCCATGTGAACATCATGCTGACTAACGTAAGCTGAAGTTTTCTGTGGGATGAACTCATGCATACCGTGACCATTGTATGTCACTCTCCCTGAAACCTTGAGATTGGGATCCAGCCTTCCAGCCAAAGCTAGCAACAGTGATGTTTTCCCAGAACTCGGAGGACCCAGAAGCAGAGTCATTCTGCCAGGCTTGATGACTCCACTAACATCGTTGAGGATCGTCAGATGTTTCATTCTATTGGGTAGGAGGTGCAATCCATTCAAGATACTCTATTAAACATCGAATGAAAGGTTTCTTATCAGTTTCATGGAACATTTAGCGCAAAAAAAGCTGGAAGCAAAGAAACAAACTTTCATTTTACACGAGCGGTTATTTTACCGTGAAGATTCCGAGAGTGAAGTTGGTGAACGTGGGCAGAGATTTGCTCCCAACTGTAGCTTCCGCTTCAAGTTTGAGATGCTCGTATCGGATTTCAATCGTCGGAAGCTCTATCCCAACCCTTCAAAAACACCACAAGCCTCAAAATCAGAAGAGGGAATTACAGAGGAAATAAGTAAGAAAAAACAGAGTTCCCCTGTTCTACGTCTAGTTCCCGTACAAGTATGATGCTGTATTTTTCGGTTTCTGAAAGTCCCATGTCCAGATTCTTTTATTTTCCGAGCAACCCAAGTAACAAAATGCAGCAACGTACCTGTCGAGTCTACTCTTGATCTTCGACAAGAACTTGTCGTTGTCCTGCTCAGCAACTTTAGAAAGGTGGTCGACCAGAGCTTTCTTGTCCTCGATCCCAAGGTTGTGGACGATCTTGCCGAGTTCTGATATGGAACCGGTCAACACGCTTCCCCGGAGATGATCAGAAGTGGGGAACTTCTCTGATCGAGCACACTTGAGGAATTCTTGGTTCGAAGAAGCAGAGAACTCATCCATGACGATGGCAACCGAACAAACAGAGTAATGAATATGCTGTGGTAAGTTTAACGGTTCCCTTTTGAATTAGATGTCTGTTTAGAAGGAGTAATTATTAGAGGAAAGGATGAGGATATATATACACTCGAGGGTGGAATGTGGGAGTCTTGGGAAGCTAATGGCATGATGCTGAAAATTCGATCAAGTATTTCGGGTAGTTTGTTAATCTTACAGCTGAGCAGTAGTCTTTTTTTTTTTTTTTTTTTTTGGTGTGAAGCTGAGCAGTAGTCTAAATTGGCTCAAGTTAAATTATGGCTGTGAAAAAGGTTCCTCTTTGCATCTAATATACTTAACTTACATAAATCGAAAACCGATGTGGATTCAATTAATAATCTTGTGGTGAGTAACCATGCATAATCCAATTGTCATCCGCCACATCAGCAGTCCATTTCTCTTATGAAAAAGCCTTTAATTCCCCCTCCCCTAATTTTTAACGGACGATTCTCACCAGTTTTAAGTCGATTTTTTTTCATGGTTAGATCAGATTAATTGTGTTTTTCAAAATAATATCCACTTTAATATATTTTTGGAACTAAAAAAAATTGAGCCATTTTTTACCAGTTTATACCATATGATATTGAGTATTGAAATAAGAGCATACCTATGGTATGAAAAGCGTACGATAGTGGTATGAACAAACCAAGACTGTAGGATAGTTGAATACATGATAGTAGAAGTATATTTATTAACTATCATTTACGACTTTTAACATTGTGTACCACAAGATACCACCCCGTAACAGGGTGGTATTGTGTGGTATTTTTTAGTCATGTATTTTGTTCACCCAGAAATTTGTAGATCAAATAGATGATGATGAACTAGTACCTTATGTGCGAATATTTTCAAAAACGAATTACAAACGAAGAAGATACCATATGGTATGTAGTTGGTACCAAGAGGCACGGAATTTTTTTTTCTAAAAAAATATTGAAAATGGATCTCATTTTATAGAGTTGAACAAACTCGTTCTATCTGTGCAAAAAAAAAAAAATTGAAATCGACATAAAACGAAGAAGATATGTGCCGATTAAGAAAAAAGGGGAGAATAAAAATATTTTTAATTCTCAACCTTTAGATCTGGATTTTCTGAATGAAGGATTCAGATTTTGTAACTGATGGGTGCATAACCCATAGTTATGCACTGTATCTTGAGCCATAGTGACGGGCCAAATTTAGGCTGACTTGAATTATCTTAATTGATTGAGTGAAGGAGCTAAAACCTTATCAATTATTTTAATTTAAAAAAAAAATTAATTTCTAAATTTGAACAAAATTTTTATGTAACTTTACTTGTATGTTATAATTGAGTGAGGCTACATACACTTCTAGTTTCAACCTAGCTGCATCACTAGCATCACGTTGTTGTGTCTTTTAGGGGTTTAAATGATGTTTATTTATCTCGCATAGCAAAGAGCTAGTAAGTAATTAATAATTGTAGATGTGGCAATTCTAATCGAGTGGATCCGCGAAAATTCCTAACTTATCTAATACATTGAATCTAAATTAAATTGAATAAGTGAATTATTGGAGTGTTAGAGAAATACGCTTTAAATCTATATTTTTTTTAGATTTTACAATTTTATACCTAAACATTCAAAGTTTTATGGAAAATATTATTCAAAATTATATTTTGGTACCTAATTTTTAATTATTATCACATCGTAGTACCTAAACCTAAAACTTGGACATTGAATACAAGAATCTAATCCATGAATCCAACAATACATTTAATCCAATTCCTTAGTCCACAATTACAGGAATGTAATCCGGTCCAATTGCCAACTCTAAATACATGTATTTTGACACGATAATATGCTACTAATTATGAATGACACCAGACCAGGGGAATACGAGTGTTTCAATACGTTTATAGCTTTGCTCGCCGCATACTAAGTATGGGTCATGTTGGGTAATACCACCGTACATGACATAGCACCCATGAACCTATTCGATGAATCAGTTGTAGAACATAAATGCAACAATTTAATCTTATCCAATGAGAAAAGAAAGAAAAAGTAATTTTTAAAGTAAAAAAGGCATTAGTTAGAGTAATTGAATATAATTTATGCCTTGGTTGAGATTATAGGTAAAAAGATCCAATCACCATCTTTCATCTTTGTAGTGGGCAAGGAGGGAAAGTAAGAAATAAGAGAGAGACTAATAGGATTTTTGGGGGCAATTGTCCCGATTTTGGTGACCGGAACAGATTCCCAAGCAACTGCTAAGGACTTATTTAAATCTCCCACAAAAATTCAATGGGACTTAAATAATTAGTTTTTTATCAAATTTTTAAAAACTTTTCATAGAAAAATCAAATTTTTTGTAGCTAATATTTTAATGTCATTATACCACTGTCATATAACGATATTATCACTGAATATGGTATGATCCTGATAAGATAGTTGTTTAATGTTGGTATGATATTGACATGATGTTAGTATGATGTCTTATATTTGGCAAAATAATTTGATAACATCATATCACTGTTATATCATAGTGACAAAACATAACAACTTAGATATCATTGTGTAGATCTTAATGAATACATAATTTCTTTACAACTTCTTTTTTAAATTTTGAGTTAAAATGAACGAGATTGGTCATCATTTCACTGTTATGTCATGATGATATGACTAATATGATAGTGATATGATGTTGGTATGAGGTCTTTGCATGACAAAACATATCAAAATAGATATCACTGCGTAGATCTTAATGAATGCATTTTTTCTATGCAAACTTTCAAAAATTTTGAGTTAAAATGAAGAAGATAGGTCATCATATCACTGCGATTGATATGACAGTGATAATACTACAGCCGAGATGTGTTTTGAAAAGTTTATTTTTCATTTGCTTAAAATATATCAAAATGGATATCAATGTGTAAATCATAATTAATGCATTCTTTCAATGCAATTTTTTTTTAAATTCCAAGCTCAAATGAATAATGTAGTATCAAATTAAGAAAAATACGGAATTAGGAAAAATACCTTCTATTTCTCTTTTTATTGGAATTATTCTGGATCAATAGAATGGGGAAGGGATGGAGATTGGATGATTGAGTTTTGTAGTGTCTTTGTCGATATGATTATTATATCCTATAATTTTTTTATTATTTTTCAAAACATATGAAAGCTTCATTAAGGTTAAAATATCGTTCAAGAATCCAATAAGAAAGAGTGAGACCAATAAGGAATTCAGGATTAACCAAGTCCATAAGAGGCATCATGAAAGTGATACCTATGTCTGTCCCAAGTGGAATAGATGTTGTGAACATATCGATTCGAGTAACTTGGATTAAAATTGTAATTTGTCGTGACAATGATGTAGATGAACTTTTTGGGCCACCGATGACCTAGAGATCCTCTGTTGTGAACCGTTGGAGGCAAGATGTAAAGAGCGTACGAGTTAGGTATGTCGATCCATTTTTATATATTATATTAGAAAATATTTATATTTTAACGATAGAACAAAGGAAAAATAGTGCATAAATGAAGAATAGATATAATAGTTATATTAAATTCTGCATTTATCTAAAATATCATTAGATGAAAATATGATTTAAGATGATTCAAAATAGAATAAATATAAGTTGACGTTGAAATAAACCGAGATAGAATGGGAGACAAAACGGAAGCAATATCTATACCTTAGCCAAAAAAACGTATTATCCGCTCAACAACCTTCAGGTTGGGTAATTCCTGCCGGGCCAACTTGAAATTCGAATCATAGAGACGTGGGACTAAGAACTGAACGTGAACAAAGATGCCACGGTTTTGGAGGCACATTTTTTGTTGGCAGGGAATGGGTCTTTGTTTTACCTAGCCGAATGGACAGAGATTCCTTAGGTTTTCCCATTGTTTGGTTACTGAGGATGGATTATTAAACATGAAATAAATTGTATTTCGCTGTCGTTGGCGAATGCCATTGTTTTTAGTGGGAGCAGAATCAGTGCAAAAAACGCAATAATTATTTTGGTATGGATGCAAGCCAATAGATATTGTAACATTCCGAATCTTTTTTCGATAAGATATTCACTTTGGTTCTAGATCGTTATGGATTTTGTCTTGTAGTGTATATAAATGGGATTTCCCATATAAGGTTATCCATCCTTGCAATGCTTCATAGTGAGCACATACTTGGGACTCAACGTCCTCATTGATGTTTGCCCACAATCGTGAAAGAGGAATGCAGAGAGGATCTGATATCACGTGTAACATCTCGAACCTGTACCGGACAAGATATTGCCTGCTTAATTTGGGCCTAGACTCTCACGGAGTTTGCCTTGGGGTGCATATCAAGTGGCTTCCCATAAGGTCACTCATACTTGCAGTGCTCCGTCGTGAGCACGTTCAATTTCGGAGTTCTCATAATAACTCCTCTATTTCACCTCAAAATGCGTCCTGTCAGTTAAGACCAATTTCTTATTTATGAATCATGAATTTCTCCTTTCGGGACTCAATTGAAAGTTTAAAAAGGCTTCTCCTTTCTCCATTGAAGAACAAACAAAAACTAACAAACATTAAACAATAAATTTAGTAAATCCGCACCGAGCTGCGGCTCACCTATATTTTTCTTATTCCGGCGGTTGCTGCTTGCTGCTTGCCGGCAGTCGGCGTCTCGACAAGAGGCGTGGTGTGGACAGACGACGAACGGGGGATGAACTGGGAGTAGGACAAACAACAAAGACCTAGGATGAAGGGCAGGGATCTGTGGACGGAGCCGAGGAGGAATTTTACAATGCTATATAGCATTGGTGCTATAGGTTTTTGCCTTTATGGTACAACTTGAAATTGTACCTTTAACGTTATGGTACCACTTCAGATTGTACCTATACTTTTTGTACAAATTCTTTTATGGTACAACTTAAACTTGTACCTTGTGTGATGGTACAACTTCAAGTTGTAAAATTGTACCATAACATAATGATACAAATTCCTTTATGGTACAACCTAAACTTATACATTTAATGTTATGGTACAACTTCAAGTTGTACATTAAAGCACCAATGCTATATAGTATAGTAGAAGTGCTCCGGAGAGGAGG